GCTGTCAGCCAACTCCCCGGGGGAGTGTGGGTGTGGTAGGAACACTTCCAGAATACAAGCTGGGGATATTTTGTAGGAAAAAGACTGGAAATCTAAAGGAGCTCTCTGTGTGGGAGGAGGCAGCTGTTCATGTGAAATGGCAGTGGGTACAGTGCCTACAGCTGGGTGGGGTCTTGCTGACTCTGTATTCCCTTGAGCAGACACAAGGTCAGATGGGTCTGTGTTACTCTGCATAGCTAGGGCCTTACCAGGCTTTCTCCCCCCATGATTTGGGACGGGATCACAAACTTCTCAGCGGGATGGCACACAGGCCACTTGGGTACTGTGTCTTTCTGGGAATCCGGTAGCTTGGCTCCTACGTAGAATGAATATCTCTGGGCTTGTCTGTACTGCCCCACGGTTTGGACTAAAGGGTGTGGATGCTGTGGGTGCAAAGGTCTTGAGTCCACATGAATGCAGAGTCCTCTTGGACTTGGGACATTCATGCCCGCAGTGTCCACACGGGAATTATAACGCAGCACTTGGGAATTCACTGCTTTTCACGCCCTCTTAGTGCAAGTTGAGTGAACATAGACACGCCCTTTTCTCTAAAGGATGAGACAGTCCTGAAAGGAAGAGTGGCCCAGAAGCAGCATCTGCATTGTTTAAAAGAGAAGCTCAAGTAAGCCAGCTAGCCATGTTATTTTGCCTATGTTTAGTGTCCTGTTTGGCCCAAGCTGGGCGTGTGCTTCATAGGGGTCATATAAAAAGTGGAAACTAGGACAGATTACAAAGGATGAATATAAGCAAACAATTCAGGTTTGCAGGGGCAAGATTAGAAAGGCAAAGGCACAAAACGAGCTCAAACTAGCTACAGGCATAAAGGGAAACAAGACGACATTCTATAAATATATTAGAAGAAGAGGAAGACCAAGGATAGGGTAGGCCCACTGCTCAGTGAGGAGGGAGAAACAGTAACAGGAAACTTGGAAATGGCAGAAGTACTTAATAATTTCTTTGTTTCGGTCTTCACCAAGCAGTCTGATGATGAAGGAATGCCTAACATAGTGAATGCTAGTGGGAGGGGGTAGGTTTAGAAGATAAAATAAAAAAAGAACAATTTAAAAATCACTTAGAAATGTTAGATGTCTGCAAGTCACCAGGGCCTAATGAAATACATCCTGGAATACTCAAGGAGCTGATAGAGGAGATGTCTGAGCCTCTAGCTATCATCTTTGAAAAATCATAGAAAACAGGCGAGATTCCAGAAGACTGGAAAAGGGCAAATCTAGTGCCCATCTATCAATAGAGAAGTAAGAATAATCCAGGAAACTACAGACCAGTCAGTTTAATTTCTGTGCCAGGAAAGATAAGGGAGCAAGTAGTTAAGGAATTAATCTGCAATCACCAGGAAGAAAATAAGGTGATAGGTGACAGCCAGCATGGATTTGTAAAGAGCAAATCATGTCAAACCACTCTGATAGCTTTCTTTGATTGGATAACGAGGCTTTCTTTGATTGGATAATGAGTCTTGGATAAGGGAGAAGCGGTGGATGTGGTATACTTAGACTTTAGTAAGGCATTTGATACGGTCTCTCATCTTCTGATCAATAAACTAGGCAAATACAACTTAGATGGGGCTACTATAAGGTGGGTGCATAACTGGCTGGATAACTGTACTCAGCAAGTAGTTTTTAATGGTTCACAATCCTGCTGGAAAGGCATAACAAGTGAGGTTCTGCAGGGGTCTGTTTCGGGACTGGTTCTGTTCAATATCTTCATCAGCGATTTAGATATTGGCATAGAGAATACGCTTATTAAGTTTGCAGATGATACGAAGCTGGGAGGGGTTGCAAATGTTTTGGAAGATAGGGTCATAAGTCAAAATGGACTGAGGTAAACAAGATGAAGCTTAATAAGGACAAATGCAGGAAGGAACAATCCGTTCCACACATACAGAATGGGAATCGACGGTCTAGGAAGGAGTATGGCAGAAACAGATTTAGGGGTCATGGTGGACCACAAGCTAAATGTGTCGTCAGTGTGACTCTGTTGCAAAAAAAGCAAATGTGATTCTGGGCTGCATTAACAGGAGTGTTGTGAGCAAGACATAAGAAGTCATTTTTCCGCTCTATTCTGCGTTGATTAGGCTTCAATTGAAGTATTGCGTCCAGTTCTGGGCACCGCATTTCAAGAAAGATGTGGAGAAATTGGAGAAGGTCAGGAGAAGAGCAACAAGAATGATTAAAGGTCTAGAGAACATGACCTATGAAGGAAGGCTGAAAGAATTGGGCTTGTTTAGTTTGGAAAGGAGAAGACAGAGGGGACATAAGAGAGGTTTTCAGGTATCTAAAAGGGTGTCACAAGGAGGAGGGAGAAGAATTGTTCTCCTTGGCCTCTGAGGACAGGACAAGAAGCAAGGGGCTTAAATTACAGCAAGGGAGGTTTAGGTTGACATTAGCAAAAACTTTCTAACTGTCAGGGTGGTTAAACACTGGAACAAGTTGCCTAGGGAGGTTGTAGAATCTGTCTCTGGAGATATTTAAGAGCAGGATAGACATCTATCAGGCATGATCTAGACAGTACTGGGTCCTGCCGTGAGGGCAGGGGACGGGACTCAACCTCTTGAGGTCCTTTCTAGTTCTAATGTTCTGTGATCCATTGCCTCTCCCCGTGTTGTGTTGTGTTTTGTGTGCAGTTATCTGTGGTGGCTCATTTTAGTGACAGGCGATTCCTTCATCTAATTGTAAGCACTTTAGGTTTCTTCTGTCTGAGATGCCAAGGAGCAACATAAGTCGTTAAGTGTAAATGCTTTGCTAACTAATGAGAAAAGCAGGTGTAGAAATCCTTACTCTGAGGAGGATTGCAGTCAGAGCTTTATAAAAGATCTGGTCTTAAACATTGACCGATAGACGTAGATGGAAAGAGCTTTCTCTAAGGAACGTTGAGTAGGGGTGGCTGTTTTGGTGTCTGTTTTGCTGAATGACTTCCCCTTACGTGTCCCAGGAACCTCCATGGGTATATCTACACTGCAGTTAAAAACCCATAGCTGGGCCACACCAGCTGGCTGGAGTTGTGAGGCTGTTTAATTGCAGTGTAGACATCTGGGTTCTGGTTGGAGCCCTGGGCTGTAGGATACAGCAAGCTGGGAGAGTCCCTAGAGCTACACCGCCATTAAAGAACCTTTCACCCTGAGCCCTACATGCCTGTGTCAGCTGGTATGGGCAGTTGTGGGTGTCTAATCGCTGTGTCAACATACGCTGTGTGGTGAAAAATCCCAGCTCTTATTAGTAATTGCTTTCCTCTTAGTACAATTAGCAGTAACTGTAAGTCCACATTGTTTCTCTTTCATTCTGACGGTGTCCTCTAGATGCCATTTGAAAATCAACACACATGCATGCTTCCTTGCCAGGAAATTCAGGGGTTTTGCTTTCACTTCGCCTGTGACTACATCCAAATCCATCTTCTTTGTAATGCTCTGTCTGTGCTGGGGGTTACCCAGCATCATCTGAAACACTTCTGCTTGGCCACTGTGAGGAAGGCGTACACTGACTGCTCTAATCGAATCTCGGCATACTACAATGCTTTTGAAACGTGATTTGATAACCGTTGTGCGCTGGTCACACTGACTAGAGAAACCGTTGTGCCTAAAATGGTTTTATGCTGCATTTAAAAGTGGTTCCGGTAATACAGTGCGGCTAGACAAGGATGCAGCCATGATTCTGTTAAGCAGAGATTTTTATCAAAGGGTGAGACGCAGGCATGGAATTCCGGGATTTTGCAGCCTTCAGTCTGAAATGGCGACGAATGAGTCGACTAGAATCCCTGAAATCTTCTCGGTTGCCATCAGAAACGAAAGACTGTGCTGGAAAGCGTGTGACAAAGTAGGGATGGAATAGTATAGTTGATTAACTGATTAGCAAAAGCTTACAGGTTAATTCTATAGACTACACGCATCTCCCCCTCCTCACCCTTGGCCAGTACATTTTTTAGCAGGCTGGCCAGCAGCCCAGCTCATTCCTGGCTTGCACTGGGTCCTGGACCTACCCTCTGCTGCGACTCTGAATTCAAAGTGCATTAGGAGCCAGGCGGGCAGGCAGTCCTGCTCAGTTCGAGCTCGTGCCAGTTCCTGGAGCTCAGACCCCTCTTCCCCGGACAGGGGCTGCCCGTGACTATATCTAGTCGAGTAACCGATAAGAATTCATGAGGTTAATCGACTATTCAAGTACCCTATACGGAACACTCTGTCTGTAAGTGCTTTCTAGGGCCTGCCTGTCTCATGGTGTTTTCCTCTTCCACAGGACTATATTTGCCCAAGGTGTGAGTCTGGGTTTATTGAAGAGCTTCCCGAGGAGCCCAGGTAAGGTGCTGTCCCTGAAGGATACCCCAGCTAGCTTGGACTCCGTTTCCTGTGGTAGGAGAGGCTGCGAACCAAGAGGACCCGTTGGACAGTCTGCCAAGAGTTGCCTTTTTCCACTGACAACCTGGGGAGTGAAGTTACTTGGCTTCCCCAAAGTTGTAACACTTAACTCGCACGTCGCCTGGGTCCATGAATAGGCCGACGTGTTTCCCAACCATGGTGGGTGGAAGCCTGAGATCCCGGCTAGTGACCAATGTTCCCTTTAATTTGTTCCATCTGTGTACGGAATTAATTTGACATGCACTGAAGCATGTGCGGACGTGCATCACCAACAGAAACACGTGCTGCCAGATGTGGGCGCTGTGGGAGCTCTGCCAATCTGCTGGACAGTCCTGCTAGTGACTTGCAGGCAGCCACAGAACTTGGCTGGACTTTCTATGCCCAGGGCTGATTGGCTGCACCTCTCTCTTCCCCAGTCTCTTCACCTTAGCTTTGCTCCACACCTGTTCTCCTCTTCCTGTGCCCTGAGCCACCCTCCCCTGGCCCTTTTCCTTCCCTGTGACTGATCCCGTCTTAATGACCCCCCAATATATCTGCTATAGATTTTAGAGCGTCTGTCTGTCTGTCTGTTCAAGAATCAAAACGGTAAGAATTAGGAGCATCAAATTGGTTATGCAGCTTCCTCTTATTGTAACTTAAAATAACATTAGAGCCTGTCTCCCGCCTGCCCAGCCGGCACTGCCTGAGCCTCCTGTCCCCCATTAGGGAGGGGGGTCGGGCTGAAGTACCTCTCCAAGTTGTATGGGGACATTGCTGGCTGTTCCCTTTGTCAGGGAGCGAGGGGAAAGTGCGGGTCACACGTAATGTGATTCTTGGTCTCCACTTGCAGTGTGGGTGGCATTGAGGTTGAATCAATGAAAGGTGACAAGATGTTTAAGAAGTCCACTGGTTTGTTCTTAACAGTGGAAGTAAGTCTCTGTCTACATCAGCTGTATCCAGTGTGCATTAGTTAGTCCTCAGGGTTGCAGTAGGTTTGCTAAACCCATAGGCCTTGTCCCGTTTTGAAAGGCAGGATTGTCTAGTAGTAGATGGAGCATGGAGCTGGGAATCTTTCCTGCTAATTGTAGCTCTGAGAGCGACCTGCTGTGACCTTGGCAGAATTACTCTGTTGCTCTGAGCCTCTGTTTACTCTGCTGTAAAACCAAGACAGCATTTAGCACACGCGCCTTGAGAGTAATGTTCCTACAGCACTTTGAAACTGTAGCTCTACGCATTGGTCACTGTTCTCTTGTAATAATTTGCTGACTTTCACAAGATTTTGCAGTGCCAAAAAGAGCTTTGGTTCTGATGAGTGTGTTGGCCACAGCCGCATTGAGGGTGTTTGCGTTGCTGTGGCAGTGTCGGCACCTAAAATCAGTGAGGGGCGAACTCGGCCAGGGGCCTTCCCCCTGAGTGGATCACAAGATTGTCGTAACCAAGATGGAGCAGGACGGAGCAGTTTAGCTCACTGTGCCTGCGGAGCTTGAATTTGCAGGATGTGCCAATTGAATTGTAGCAGCGCTGTGATTGGCTGCACAGGGAGTGCGCGGCTTTCACGGTCAATGTCTGGTGCAATTGGTGTGCACCTTTCACGGGCCCTGGCCTTATGCAAAACCAGTAGGGAAAAACCACATGGATGGAAAGCAGTGAAATCTGGCAGGCCTACGCCTGGACAGCTGTCCTGCGTGCCACACACACGACCCCGGTGGCCACAGGTTGCCCACCGCTGTGGCTCTCCAGAGAATGTAGCTGAATGCCTGGGGTGGAGTGGACAGAGAACTTATGGCTGATGATAACAGGAGAGTCTTCCCTTGCAACGTTACTGCTCTGCAGAGCCAGGGATGCGCGCACAGTGAGGGAGAACGGTCTGGCTTTTCCGAAATGTAAGGGACAGCAAGAAAAATCATTTAAGTTAAATGACGTGAGCAGCAGATGAGAGGAGAATGTCCTGCCTGTGCACTGATTTTGCACAGCTTGTAAACTGGGGAGATGTTTGCCGCTAGCGAGGTCCCATCCCTGGCTTCCCTCTGCTGCAGTAGCCGTTCTGTCCGCCCGCGCTGCGGCACGTCAGCTAACCGGCGCTGTTTGCTCTTGTCAGGAATGCTGAGAATGGTTCCAGCTCTTCGGCCTCGACCAGCGATCAGAGCAGACACCCATTCGAGGTGAGTAACAGCTGCTCCTCAGATATTGGTTGTCTTGCCCTTGAATCTGACTCTTCTACAAACTGATCGTTTTGCACCCTGCTGGATTTTGCCAAATTTGTGGGTAAATATCATCCAAGCACCGCTTCTAAATAGGGATGTGAGTGGTTAGCCAGTAAGCATCACCCTTATTGGGTGCTGTGGCAGGGGTGCTCCGCCCCACCCCGTTTAAGCAGTTAACTGATTAAATACAACGTTTAACCGGGATTGTACTTCCTTCCAGCAATCCCTAAGTATGGCTTTGTTCTCAGAGGACAGTCGTTCAGTGTGGGTCTCCCCATCTTGTTCGGCGTAGCTGGGCTACGGTGGATTGGATGTGCTGTGGTCACTGACAGTCAGCACGTAGCCTCTGTTGCTGCCCAGGGTAGCAGACAAGTAATGGCCATTTCCTAACTTGAATTCCATCCGATGCTGTTTGCTCGGGGCAGAGCTGTTCCTCCGCTGTGCTGCTGGGGAGTCTCTGCCTTTGTTAGCAGAAGTAAAAGCCGAGCCACCTCCTGGTAACCGGCCTGCCTTGCCCCTCTCCGCTACAGAGCATGGACCAGCACTTATTCACCTTGCCGCAGGGCTACGGCCAGTTTGCCGTTGGGATTTTCGATGACAGCTTTGAGCTTCCTGCTTTTGGGCCTGGTGGCCAATCTGAAGACAACAGGGACTCGGAGAACCGACGGGAGAGAGAGCACCAGTCTCGGCACAGATATGGCGCGAGACAGCCCCGAGCCCGCCTCACTGCACGGCGTGCCGCTGGCAGGCACGAGGGAGTCCCCACGCTGGAAGGGTGAGGCTTGGCTCGGTGCCTGGGGCCGGCTGTTTGATTTGAATGCGGGAACCTGTGTGTGTTCTCTGGTCCTTTTGAAACCCTCCCACACTAGTTCTTCTCTTCCCTTGCTTCCCATGCAAATGGCTGCTTCGGGGAGATTAAACTTCAGCTGGGCTAGAACCCTTATCTCGCCTATATCTGGAGTGAAACTGCCTTGCTGCCTGGCGCTTTCCGGTGCTCTACAACAGTTCCTGCTCAAAAAGGGCTGCAAGCTTTTAACTACAAGGTGCCCTGGGCTGAGTAAGCTTCGGTCTGCCCTGGTTCTTTCGCCTGGGCATGGTCAGTTGTGGGCAAAGCAGCATGAAGCCCAGCTGATGTGTTCGATTCTTGGTGAATTTCTCCCAGTCACCAGGGGCCTGGAGTTCCCTGCTCCTTACAGTCAGCAGCTAGAAATGCTGCTGCCTCCTAGGCCTGCTAGAGCAGGAGGGATTTTTCTCAAGGACCTCTCTGGTCTGGCGCCTCCGGGACTGGACTGGTCCCGCATGAGGGATTTTGTCGGACTTGGGGAGGTTGTATCTGGCCCCCCAGACCGCTCCCCTCTGCCACCGGCCCCCCACACTCCACTCCTCTTCCTGGCTATGCTGGGCAGCCCAGCTCCCAGCGTGTAGGGCTCCTGGCCCTGCTGGGTTGTACTGGGGAGCCCAGCCGCCAGCCCACCACCGGGACTCTCTGGTCCTTGGAATCCATGGTCCTACTGGACCGTGGCTGTTGCCAGACCAGGGAGTCCCGGTTCACAGAGGTTCAGTGTACGTCCCGGAGATGCGCTTTTGCCTAGGAAAGCCTCGACTCCTTCCTGTGGCAAGAAATAGCTAGCGCTAGGATGCAGTGCATCTGCACTGCCGATCCCCGTGGCACCGCGGTGTTTCCTGTCCACGCTGGACTTCAGGGTGGTTTTGTGGGAGTCAGTGGAGCCTCGTTCTTACCTGACCTTGATTTTTCTGCCTTTCAGGATTATACAGCAGCTGGTCAATGGCATTATCGCACCTACCACCATCCCCAACCTAGGACTAGGCCCTTGGTGAGTGGGCATTCCCGGCTGCTCCCCTGCAGGTCTGGCTGGGCAGCCCCAGGGAGACTAACACCTCTTGTCTTTATTCCTGAAGGGGAGTCTTGCATTCAAATCCTATGGACTATGCTTGGGGTGCCAATGGCTTGGATGCAATTTTCTCTAAGCACCTGCCCGTCTCCCGCCCGGGGAGGGACAGCGCTGGCACCTGCCTCGGTTAGCCCAGTGCGCCGCCTAAGCCCTGCGCGCAGAGTGCCTGTGTCAACGTCTCTGAGGAGCTCGGGGCTAATTCCATGGCCAGGGAAAATGCCGTTTGTGTCTTGATTCACGTGGCTTGAAACGCACCAGCCAGAGGGTTGCCTCTAAGCACCTGCCCGTCTCCCGCCCGGGGAGGGACAGCGCTGGCACCTGCCTCGGTTAGCCCAGTGCGCCGCCTAAGCCCTGCGCGCAGAGTGCCTGTGTCAACGTCTCTGAGGAGCTCGGGGCTAATTCCATGGCCAGGGAAAATGCCGTTTGTGTCTTGATTCACGTGGCTTGAAACGCACCAGCCAGAGGGTTGCTGAGTGCCCTACTGCGGCCTTTCAGTCCCTCCTCAGGGAAGCCGTGTGCTGGAGAACACCAGACCAGCATGGCCTCAAGCAGGCTTGGCAGGGGTTCCGAAAGACAAGCCTGTTTCCCCAACAACCTGCTCTGATGGTTTGTGATTTAGGGAGCTCAAAGGGGGCCATGCTTGATTCTGCTCCTGTTGTTCCTCCCGCTGTTCTAGAACACAGGTGGCCATTAAATATGTGGCGGGAGCATTTAAAGACATTACCAGGAAACCAGTCCTGGAGTGTGTATTTGGCGAGTGGCATTTGCTGCTGGAGAGCCCGAAGAGCAGTTGTCATGACTGAGGCATGGGCAGTCAGACCTAGCGGTTGGAGCGGGAGTTGGGAAATAGGCTGGGTCCGATTCTGAGGCAAGCCAGAGGGCAGAACTGAGGGCCAGGAGGCAGCACGGTGAGGTCACCAGCAGATCGGGAGCCAGGGAGCAGTCCAGACATGGGAGATCCCAGTTGCATGTGCAACTTCCTGTTCCTGTGCTGGGTGTGTATCGAAGTCGGGAACACATCAGCATCCCCCGCGTTCTGCCATTCTGTTTCCAGGGCTGGCGTCTGCTTCTGTTTTGGCAGGTGCTAGTGGGTCCCTGAGTGCAGGCTGGAACTTAGCTTCTAAGAGCCCCGTGGTATCGGCGTCAGTGCGCACGTGAAGTGTTGTGCTGAGGGTGTCAGCTGCTCCATTCAGAGGTCAGGCTGGAATCTGTCTCCTCCGTGCAGCTGTGCAAAGCTGCCCAGCTCTGGGGGGATGGTGGGGCGTTAATTGGTGAAGCATGAGGAGTTAGCCAGCGGGAAAGGCAAGGACTGGACTTTCAGGTGACGGGATATTGGGTGAGATGGCTCAATACCGAGGCCTTCCATCCAGCCGGCGGTGTTTCCTGGACTGCATGGCCTTTTGTCTTTCAGTTATTAAATCAGTTTGAAAACACTGGGCCACCTCCAGCAGACAAGGAGAAGATCCAAGCGCTCCCCACTGTTCAGATAACAGAGGAACACGTAGGTACGTCCCCGCCTCCTTCGACGACTTGGCTGACGCGAGCTGTGCAAAGCTTCCCTGTGGTTTTCCACTTGGGGTTTTCATGTTGGCAAGGAATGTATTGTAAGGCTCAAGCATTCCAAAGGCAGAATGAGGCACAGCTCTCAGACATGCCTACAGGAGATAGGGCTGCAATAGGCAGTCAGCCACTTGGTCTTTAGAAGCTACAGTCTCCCCTCTGATACCTACCGAGGGACAATCTCCGCTTATGGATACATTTGCTTTCCACTGCCACCTCTCTGTGAAACCTTCTGGGGGGGGGGGCTTGATTGCTAATACAGGTGACCCCGACTTGTGACACAATTTGTTCCTGAGGAAGTGTCGCAAGTTGGAGGTGTCGTAACTCGAATCCTCATTGACGATAGGCGCCGTGCACCATCGTAAACGTGGGCTGAGGAAGTAAGTCGGGGGTTTTCAGCCCCATCCGCACTTTAAAAAATACTTGTAAGTGCGGGGGTTCACAGCTCGGGGGTTTCCTGTATCTTGATCACTGCTGATAGTCTACCACAGGGATCCTATGGCTCTTAACAAAACTGTTGTTTGTCGATAATCCAAGCACGACACCCAGATGGCCACAGTACGCAGATTGAGATTCTGTACATTTTTTAAACATTAGCTTCAATCAGATTTTTAAATCTAAAAATTGGAGCCAGCCTGGGAATCGGGGCTGTTTTGGTGTCCTGAGTCTCCAGCCTGTCTTGGGAATGAGTGGTCTGTGTGCTGTTCAGGGCGTTGCTGGGCTAGGGGCTCTCACCCCACGGCAGTGTGCCGCCAGTAGGAATGATGGTGGAGAACTGGCAGCCTGCTTACCACTGTGTGCAGCTCTGCTTGGACCTAATTTTACAACCCAATCTGAACCTGTCGAATCGTTTTCCTGTCTGCTTGTGGTTGGCTTGGTCCCATGGGTTTTGTTTCAGGTAGCAGAGCTCTAATTCACGCTGCTGCCCTCGCTCCTGCTGTGCCAGACTCTGGGCCAGGAGCCCTACGCTGTCTCCGGCCATGCATCCCTCACCCCTAGGGAGCGTCTGTCCTTGCCACTGCGGGGTGCAAACATGATGCGTCCTGCTCCGCTGGGCTCCTTCCTCCAGGGCTGGGGAGCCCTGTCAAGCAGCCCCAGCGCCTTTGGCCACAGGGTGTCCTGGCAGGTGTGCAGCCCAGGGAAAGAATCTGGCCCGCCTACCTGGCCCGCAAAGCCAGGATCCTCCACCCCTGATGTGCTGTGGTGTGTCCCAGGCCTGCCTGCCCAGCAGTGCAGTGTAGGCTTCTGGTGCACTCCCATCCTCCTCGCTGCACCCTGGATGCTGCCCTGGCTTCCTGGTTGGGAGGAGCCCTCCTTCCGCAGCAGAGCTGGCTAGCTGTTTGCTGACTCCCCTAGCCAGCTGCTCCCAGCGTCACTGAACTCTGGGGACCAGGACCCTTCTCTGGTGCGCCAAGTGCTGACGCCTGAAGTCAGGCGATGGCTGGTTCCCAGCCTCTGCCGCTGTGTCTTCTGGATGCGCTGTAAGTAGCGTTAGAGGCGCAGCGGTAACACACCAGTTGTCCGCACAGGTGGGGCTGCAGCTGTGAAAGTCTTCTGAAACTGTCAGTGCTGGTGTAGCCGGTGCAGAAATCACAAAAAAAGGCCATTTTGAACTCTCTTCTCCGTGGCACACTTCCAACTGCCTTGCGGCACACCAATGTGCCACGGAACACAGTTTAAGAAACACTGGTGTAGTCTACAGCATAAGAACGGCCAGACTGGGTCAGACCAAAGGTCCATCCAGCCCAGTATCCTGTCTACAGACAGTGACCAATGCCAGGTGCCCCAGAGAGGGTGGACCGAAGACAATGATCAAGCGATCTCTCTCCTGCCATCCCTCTCCAGCCTCTGACAGACAGAGGCTAGGGCACCTTTCCTTACCCAGCCTGGCTAATAGCCATTTATGGACTTAACCTCCATGACCTTATCTAGTTCTCTTTGAAACCCTGTTATAGTCCTAGCCTTCACAACCTCCTCTGGCAAGGAGTTCCACAGATTGACTATGTGCTGTGTGAAGAACTTCCTTTTATTTGTTTTAAACCTGCTGCCCATTAATTTCATTTGGTGGCCCCTAGTTCTTATATTGTGGGAACAAGTAAATAACTTTTCTTTATTCACCCTCTCCACACCACTCCTGATTTTATTAGACCTCTATCGTATCCCCCCTTAGTCTCCTCTTTTCTGAGTTGAAAAGTCCCATCTTTCTTCATATGGGACCCTTTCCAAACCCCTCAGCATTTTTGTTGCCCTTTTCGGAACCTTTTCCAATGCCAATATAACTGTTTTTGAGATGAGGCGACCACATCTGTCCACAGTATTCCAGATGTAGGCGTACCATGGCTTTATTCTCTATCCTCTTAATGATTCCGAACATTCTGTTTGTTCTGACTGTCACTGCACACCACATGGACGTCTTCAGAGAACTGTCCACGATGACTCCAAGATCTTTCCTGAGTAGTTGTAACTAAATTAGCCCCCATCATATTGTATGTACAGTTGGGTTATTTTTTCCACTGTGCAGTACTTTACACTTATCCACATTAAATTTCATTTGCCATTTTGTTGCCCAGTCACTTAGTTTGTTGAGATCGTTTTGAAGTTCTTCACAGTCTGCTTTGGTCTTAACTATCTTGAGCAGTTTAGTATCGTCTGTAAACTTTGCCACCTCCTGTTTACCCCTTTCTCCAGATCATTTATGAATAAGTTGAATAGGATTGGTCCTAGGACTGACCCTTGGGGAACACCACTAGTTACCCCTCTCCAATCTGAAAATTTATCATTTATTCCTACCCTTTGTTTCCTGTCTTTTAACAGTTCTCAGTCCATGAAAGAATCTTCCCTCTTATCCCATGGCAACTTAATTTACATACGAGCTTTTGATGAGAAACCTTGTCAAAGGTTTTCTGGAAATCCAAGGTGGTTGGTATGGTTTTGAGAGCCTGATTTCTGGAAATCTAAGTACACTATATCTACTGGATCCCCCTTGTTCACATGTTTGTTGACCCCTTCAAAGAACTCTAATAGATTAGTAGGACATGCTTTTGCCCAACAAATTATGTTCTACTTTTGCTTATCGGTTAATCAGTTAATTGACTGTACTATTACATCCCTATGTGATACCCTCCGTGTTTATTTTTAAGCAATTGTGAGGAATTATGGGAGGATCAGACAATAGTTATTTAATGGCGGTATTAGCTGAGACTCGCTTCATTTTATCATTGTTAAAATACAAATTGTCAGTCTCATGTCACAATATACAAAGTACATTTCCTTAGCTCAGATTCAAATAGTTCTCAAACCGCCTTGTTCGTTCTTTGCTAATGTGTCAGTTTCTGTTGATGGGAATACTTTTGTGTGGGTTTGTGTGCACAGTGACAGACACATGAAACTCACACCCCTCCAAGCCTGCACTTGACCCCTTTGCGGCAGCAACGAGAGGAAATGCAGGCCAGGATGCGGAGGGTGTTTGGAATAAGGTGGAGTGATCCAGGCCACCATCCCAGGTGGAAGGAGCAATGGAGGATTTGGTGGGGGTGGAGGGAGGGGGGCAGGCGGACTGAACCAGGTTAGCTGAAGCGCATCAGTGGTGAGACTTCACAGGTTGGCATCTCTGTGCTGATTTCTGAAGTGGCTGGGGACACAAGCTGTCCGGTCAGCCTGCGTTACTCTTGGCTGTACGTGTTTTCTGTCAATCACAGGCTCCGGGCTCGAGTGTCCCGTTTGTAAAGAGGATTACACCCTTGGTGAAAATGTCCGGCAGTTACCCTGTAATCATCTGTTCCACAATGGCTGTATAGTCCCCTGGCTGGAACAGGTTAGTTACCCCAGGGCGCAGGGAACATTAGACATGCTGTAGGTTTTCCATTGCACTGGTCCCCTCATAAATCCTTCTATGATGCTGCCTCTGTGTGAGTAGCCTTTGGCCTCTGAAGGAGGCGGCGGCTGTTGGCAGCGTCACAGCCTGTTACTTTCCCTCCTCCTGTGTCCTGCCTAACCCTTTCTCTCCTGATGTTTTTCGTCTCCAAAGCACGACACATGCCCCGTGTGCCGGAAAAGTTTAAGTGGACAAAACACTGCCACGAACCCACCAGGACTCACAGGCATGAACTTCTCCTCCTCGTCGTCTTCCTCTTCCTCCAGCTCACCCAGTAACGAAAATTCATCAAACAACTCGTGAATCCTGGCCCAGCCCCTGCCCCCCTTGTTCCTAGCCAACATACGCAACTGAGGGCTTCCGGAGCAGAGCGAGGGGGGGACCGAAACCCCGACATTGCCTCGTGAGGCCCCTGGTTCTCCAGAGACGAGACCCCTCAGGCTCTCCGGTGGGGGAAGCACTCTGTGAATTCAGTGTGTCGCCACATGGACTCTGAAAACGGGTGTGATGAAAGGCCATGACGCTTCTCAGATTGGAAACCCACGGTGCTGTGCTGTTGGCTGCCTAGCTCCAGACTGGGGCAGGTGGTTGGTATGGTTTTGAGATCCTGCTCTTTCTATTCCCCTGCTCCTCCATCCCTTTCTGCTTTGACATTTTAACCCTTTAAAGTGACAGTGTAACACAATCTGGTTTGCTCCTGGGATCTCAAGGGGGGGCGGGCGAGTGAGGGCTAGAACTGGTGAACTCTTGAACTAGAGCAAGCCATCCCTCCCTCGCCTGCCTCGAGACCTTTGTGTTTTCTTTATAACTTCCCCCTTCACATGCTCCACACACAAAGGGTTTTTATAATTTTAAATTATTACTGCTGAATAAACGGACATTTCAGCTCAACGTGAAGTTATGCATGATTTGTGGGCAATACAGGGTAAGCTCTTCTGAGTACTGTGCTGCATCTTCTGAGGCAGGTCTGCACTGGGGTCGTATGCCCCCTTGTTCCCTCCCGTATGCCATGTGGTGGTACACGGTGACTACCTTAGCTCTAAGTTCCTACCGGCCTGGCCCGTGTACATTGCCAGCCTGCCAATCGTCAAGCGCAGTCGGCTGCAGGAGGAGAAACTTGCAGCATCCTTGTACGATTTTGCATTTCTGCCTGCGCCTCCCGCAGTCCTGCCTTTCTCTCACCCGGAAGGCGGAGTGCTGGCTGCAGGACCTGGAACTGCACCAGCGTCAGGACCAGCCAAAGGCCATCGTGACCGATAAAGCACAGAGCAAGTGACATTTGAGAAAAATGTATTTCAAAGCTTCTTCAAAATACAGCTGCTTTAAAAATCCCCAGGAGCTTGTGAATCGGTTTCCTTGCCAGAGTTGGTTTGCCGGGGGAGAGGGTGGAGGGAATGTCTTGGTCCTCTGCTTGGGAGGGGCGGAGGCCTCTGATTTGGTCTGAGGTTTAACAGCTGATCTGGTTGGGAGGGTGGAAGTCAGAGCAGGTACGTTCAAAGTTCTGTTTCCATGCGCTGGGGGCAGGACGTTGCATTTCCGCTTCTGATCACTGCAGGGGGGTGCAATTCCGAAGACATCTCTGGCGGACACCTACGTGGCCTCGATGGGGGGCTTCCAGGCCGGGCTGCTGGGCTGAAGGACGTGCCCCATGTAAAGGGGAGGCTGACACAAGCCCAAAGCCTTTGTAGCGGGGACTAGCTCCAAGTCATGAGTTAACCAAAAGAACCAGGCTGCAAACCCTGTTGCAGTGGAGTGTGTTGCCAGCAGGCGGAGCAACGGGCTCAGAGGTTTCAAACACTGGTTGTGGCGAAGCTAAAATGTCCTAGGAGCGGAGATGATGATTGGCGAAGATGCTGGCCAGTGGTGGTCTGCATAACAGCTACAGCTGTGAACTCTGTCTCCTGCTCCTTTCCCAGGGGTCTCCGGCTACCAGCCAGGTCACTGAGTGCCCTGGCTCACCCAGCCTTCAGGCAAAGGCTTTTATTCTGACTGTAGGCCGGGGGGCTGAGAGGGCTGGATTGTAAGACGGTGGCTCAGGGTGTAAACGTTAGACCTCTGTATGCCCCGAGGCCCACTGCAGAGCCACCACTGGGATCAGTAGGAGATTTGCACAAAGGTCGAGGCAGCCTGTGGCCGGTCTTCTGAATGCAGTGCTGGGCTGATGGGTCCTGCCAGCTCCTGTCCCAAACTCTCCAGGGGGCCACGATGAGCCCAGCATGAGCTAGAATGGAGCCCCACAGCCTGCTCCCCCGTAGTGAAGGCCACAGGGAGGAAGTGACAGCTGGCTACCTACGGACCTGCATACTTTCCCCTTCTTGGTCATGGCCGGGTAGCAGCTTCTGTGCACGGCTCTGGTGGCAACGGGGCCCTAACACCAACTGGAGGGGGGGGGGGGGGCAGAATTCAGGGCAGCGGCTGTGTGCAAGGGGCCTGGAGAATGGCTGTGCTCCCTGGAGCTGCAAGCTGGCATGGAGCCCAGCTGGGCGGCCTTGCTGGGCATGCGGCCCAGGGGAAGCGGGGGCTGCCGGGGAGGGTTTCCCGGGCCCAGCCTGCCCAGGGACATGCTCCCCGGGCTGGCACTGGAGCCGCCTGGGGCCAGCTTGCAGGGGAGGTGGAAGGAGTCCAGGCAGCAGCCAGGGCAGGAGGTGGAGCGAAAGGGGGCGGGGCAGGGAGGAGGCTTCACGGCAGCGCCCAGCTCGGCCCGCCAGAGGGAGCCAAAGGGCGCCCGGCAGCCCGCGCTGTATCCTGGAAACCGTAGTCTGCGGCGCGGTGCACGCCGGGAGGTGTAGTTCGCCACCGCACAGGTGCCCGAGCCAGGGCGCGCAACTACAGC